CAAGCTAGATTCAAGTGATTATTACGTTTTGAATATGGATATTTTTCTTACAAAAACGCATCGATTCGCTACAGGAGGTCTTTGTTCACCCCCGGAGCCTTTTTTATTTTATGGATGGGCGCTTTTTATTTAACTTCTTTTGGACTGACGCAATGCAACACCCGCTGACTGCAATGATAGAGCTTGAAAGATCAAAGACAATTTTTTATATAACTCCGACTGGATTCGTCTGAAAGAAGAAAGTCATATACACCTAGGATGCCTCGGGGGTGAGTATAACACAGCCTAATTTTAATTTTTGGTTGAACTAACCCTTTAAGAATATTTAGACATGAATATACTGAAAATACTAAAAAATACTAGATAGGTTTATTTTTCTGACCCCATTGACAAATATTTTTTTAAGTATAAAAACGTACTTAATTTTGATACATTTAAAAAAAAAAAAAAAAACTTTAGATCTTAAGTCATTTTGCCTCTCAAATAAATGTATCTTGATTTAAGATTATTTAGATACTTATACTGAAAACAAGATAAAAATACCGAGCAAGAAAATCATTTTTTGCAGTGCATACAGTACATATGTGTTTTGTGAGAACTTATTACATTTTCTCTTGTAATTCTGAGTAATTATTGTAATGCATGCTGTGTAAGCCATCTAATGACATTAAATTGAATTAGTGTTTACGTTCAAAATCTCGCCATAATACTGTCACATACACTGTGTGAATGTCTTTGAAAACCGTTGGTCTTCTTTGAAATGTTATATTCATATAACCTTCACTTAGTTACCCTAAACCAGACTACAACATCTTTATTACAATTCAATTCAATTAATACAATTCAGAATGTTTGAATTAACCTACTTTTAAGTGTGCATTCAATGCTCTGTACTATGGTATTACCATGATTTTTGAACATGGTATCATGATAGTATATTTTCGCTTACATTTATTATGTGTACTCAGAAACATAGCCCTCTTTTTGTTATCTGTTTACATTTTAACTATCATTCCTAAACTTTATTCTTATGATCACTTTCTGGTTTATGGTTAGTTTAAAGCAATTTACTGCTTATGCATCATGTGTGTAACAAATAAATGACTCTGAGTACTAAGGGTTTCTGAACATGTACCATGGTAATACCACGGTATTCTTTGAAATACACTTGGACCACCTTGTAAATTCCATTGTAATGTGATAGTCTTTCAATCCCATGGTACACATCAAAGCACCTTGGGATTAACATCAAAATACCATGGTATTGTATTGCTTTATAAGCATAGTTTTACTACATGAGTGTTTAATAGACTTCCTCACATCTAGCATCTTTCCACACACATGCATACTGACCCATGAAACTTAACAAACATAAAAATTTAAGTAATTAATCAAATATAACCCGCTAGCATATTCTAAGCATGCACCTTGAGTTGAACAAGTTAAATAAAGTAACGTTACAATCAGTTTGCACCTGTGGTTCAGTTGCCTAATTCCCCGTGTCACAATGCAATGAACGTGTTATAAAGTTTTAAAAACGTTTTAGAACAAACTTAATGCAATGCAATGTAAAATGCAATGCAGAAATGCCTGCGATAAGAGTTTACTTTAGCAACTATGCAGTCTTGCTTATGTAAAGTTGACCAACAAACATGTTTCAAACTGCTATAACTTGCATGCCATTATGCGCGCGCGACATTACATTTCCACTTATAAAACTATAGTTCTCCTTCAAAGCCAAAGTTTATGTAGTGCATTTGTGAAAACGCATATAAGTGCATGTAAAAGTGTCGAAGGCGATCAGACTTACAGCGCTTTTCCGCCTCCCGTCCAACCAGAATCAGTCAACAGCGCGCGGCAGCCATGACAGTTCAATCCGGGGACAACAGCAGCTCAAGCCCATGACAAGAATGGATTACCTGCATGCCACATCATACTAACGTCTAATTGCATTGTCTAAATTGCATGCATTGCATCGGTGCATTAATGCCTAGCTGTATGCTTTCAGTTTGTGAAACAAGCTTTCTTTCATTAATGCAACAGATTTGATGTGCACAGAAAAGTACAGCATGTGCTTCTTCCTCTTTCAACACACATCATTCAGCACTGTTTATAACGACCATATAGAGGCACACAGCTCTTATATGCTGCCTGAGGCGTTTGGTGCACGCTCTTTTATATGAATGAGAATGTGAGAAAAGAAGAAAAACACGAACACGTTCTAACAATGTCATTTTTACTTTATTTAAATCTATTTCTACTTTTTTGTAATTGTTATTAAATGCATGGCCATTTAAGTCAATAAAGAGTTAGGTCTCAGAAAACGAAACAAAACTAAAATTGTGATCTCAAAAAGTCATATTAGAATGGAAATTATTTATTTTTAAAAAGCAAGTCATGAGAATTACATTGCGTAGTATCAAGGATGTAACAATATTGGTGTGTACTACATTTTAAAATTGTTTAAATAATTAAACAAAAACCTTTTTTTTTTTTTTGAAAATGTTACATCCTTTTTTAAATCAAATGAACTTATATTGTTTGTACATTTCAAAGCAAAAATTTTAAAAATGTAATTAAAATTTGCACCTGAATTTCAATAGTAGCTGTGATACTGGTAATAATGTCTTTACTGTAAATTGCTTTTCCTTGTTTTTATTTCGCTCTGAATAAAAGCATTTGCCCAATTAAGTAAACAAGGATTTCCATCCTGTAGAAAATTTCTGTTTGGTGCAAATTATCTTAATGGCATCACTTCTAGGTTTCGATTAAATAGAAGAAGAAAAAAATGCAATATTTAGTGACAGTTTGTAATGATATTCCTGCACTATAGTACCAGTCCTGCTTCTAATGTAGGCTATAAAACACATATCATTTCTTTATTGTTGCACTATGGCCAACTAAAACAAGTAAATCTGCTCTTTAAATGCTTTAATGAAATGCACATGACAAAACACATAAAACCAATAACCAGTAGGAATGTGCTGTTGTTTTTAACGTTTTTAAAACAAGTTATAATATAGCAATAAACAGAAGTTAGGTAGCGTTTCCTAATGCTGTGATCATTATTGAGGAGAGGGTGGCCTCTAGTGGTGAGGTCGTGTTATAGCAGGCTCGGTTATTTGGGTTAAAAGGTGTTTCTTTATAAACAGCTATTACTGAAAATTGTGTTTCTCGGGTATCAGGTGCGAGTTGTTGCAATCTTCTATGTTCCCACCTCTTTTTTTCTGTGCAATTCTGTGATTAGTAGACTAGTAGATTAGTAGATCTGCTAAAGTTTCGCGTCTTGTGATGACGCTGATGAAAGCTTAATTCTGATTGGTTGCGCGCTGTGATTGTAAGGCGCCTTTTGATTGGCTGAGATTGTCAATGTGCTCGCAGTGCAGTGAATTGTTACTTTGTTCGTGAACTTTGCTTTGATTTACACTTTGATTATAAGTAAGTTTGTTCGGCTGCTAGTTTTCATTGTACTGTCTGCATGCAGGCGTCCTTGTGTGGGGTGAGTTCTTTACTGATTCAAAACACTGAAAAGTTTTCATCGTCTGCTTTTCCCCTTTAAAAGTTACGCTTGTAGCGCTATTCTGTATTTCACTTGCCTCTTTGATTTACAGTAGGTTTATGCATGCTAGTAAGTCATTCCGCACATTGGTTCTTGTTATGTTGCCTGTAATATGCATTGCTTGGTTTGACCCAATAACTATCGTGCACATTGACGAAGACTTAATGATCTTCTCCTCCTGATTGAGTAGTGTGTTGGACCAATCAAGACCTTCAGCGGTCTCACCGTCATCAGTGCTGATTGTTGCTGGAGCTTTGATTTGTTTTGGGGTGGACTGAGGTGCTTTTTGCTCAGTGAAGCTGATCTGATCTTCATACAGTCTCATATATTCCAGGAGCCCAATGGAGCTGGAGGGTCAGTGGTGGAAAGGAGAACTTGCAGAGGACATCTATCAGGCCCTGCGTTACAAAGTTTGTATTCCTGTTATTGTGTTGTTATTTGGCGCCACCGACCTTGTGTTATGATGTCATGCATGTAGGCACATGAACCTTGCACAATCTATTATTACGTAATTGCCATAGTAGTGGAATTGTCTTATTTGTTTTTGTATAATGTAATGCATGCATGCATGCATACATAGGCAACTTTACCGAATTCATGTAAATGCAACTTGAATGGATGCATATGCAAGATTAGTGAATTAATGTAAATGCACTTGAATGCATGCATATGCAAGATTAGTGAATTAATTAATGTAAATGAACTTGAATGCATGCATATGCAACTGTTCTGAATTAATGTAAATGCATTTGAATGCATGCATATTCAACTGTTCTGAATTCATGCATATGCATGCATTCAAGTTGCATTTACATGAATTCACTAATCTTGCATATGCATCCATTCAAGTTGCATTTACTGTACATAAATTCCATAAAGTTGCATATGCAAGCATTAAGTTGTATTTACATGAATTTACTAATCTTGCTCATGCATGCATTCAGGTTACATTTACAACTTTACTGAATTCATGTAAATTCCTAAATTCCTTGAATGGATGCATATGCAAGATTAGTGAATTCATGTAAATGCAACTTGAATGCATGCATATGCATGCTCTTTTGTTAGTTTTGACTGCTTTTACTGTCCTCATTTGTAAGTCGCTTTGGATAAAAGCGTCTGCTAAATGACTAAATAAATAAATAAATCAAATGTAAATGCAGCTTAATGCTTGCATATGCAACTGTTCTGAGTTCATGTAAATGCAACTTGATTGCATGCATGTGAAACTTTACTTGGCTATTTGCATGCATGTGCAACTGATTATTGCATGAATCAGTATTATAAAACATATTAATTGCAGTGTGGTTGTCTCGTTGGATGTCCTTCAGGAGCTGCGCTTGCCTGCGTACAAAGGCCAGTCTCCACAGCTGAGTCTTAGACGATATTTCGCAGACCTTATTGCTATAGTCAGCAACCGGTTCAAGCTGTGCCCTGCGGCCAGACACTTGGCTGTTTATCTGCTGGACCTGTTCATGGACCGCTATGACATCTCAGTACAGCAGCTTCACATGGTTGCGCTGTCCTGCTTGCTTTTGGCCAGTAAGAGGCATACTCCTATTATTGATTGAAACATAATTCCTGCTCTTATTGTGTATGATGCACAAAGCACACCACAAAACATTGTGCCATAACCACTCAGCAACCATTGTTTTTAATCCAGGTAAGTTTGAGGAGAGAGAAGACCGCGTTCCGAAGCTGGAGACCCTGAACAGTCTGGGCTGCATGAGCTCTATGAACCTGGTTCTGACCAAACAGGGTCTCCTGCACATGGAGCTGCTGCTCCTCGAGACGTTTCAGTGGAACCTGTACCTCCCCACAGCTGCTCACTTCATAGAGTACTACCTGCCGGTCGCTGTGAATGAGACGGACCTGCATGACGGCTGGCCGATGGTATGCATGGAGAAGACCATGCTGTACATGTCCAAATATGCTGACTACTTCTTAGAGGTCTCTTTACAAGGTGCAGAGTTTAATTCAGATGCAGTGCATTTTCACCTGTTGAATGTTGGTGTGAGTGTATAAGAACTGCATGATATAGAGAATAAGAATGTTTTTGTTCTTTTGTATGAAAAAATAAATAAATACATTTCCTTTCTCCGTCAAGACCATGCATTTCTGCGATTCGTCCCGTCCCTGGTTGCTGCGGCGTGTGTGGCCTCCTCACGGGTAATCTTGCATTTGTGTCCGACCTGGCCTCCGTGCCTCCAGTGTCTGTCCGCGTACACCTGGGAGCAGCTGCTGCCCTGCGTGGAGAGACTTCTAATGTGAGTTTCACCCAGAGTTGTTATCCTTAACGAAAAGCCATACAAATGGAATGCATGTAAATACAGTTTGAATGCATGCATGTACAACTTTACTGAATGCATATAAATGCAGCTTGAATAGATGCTTACTGAATGCGTTCAATTTGCATTTACAGTACATGCATTCAATAAAGTTGCATAAGCATTAATTCAAGTTGCATTTACATATATTCAGTAAAATTGTATATGCATGCATTCAAGTTACATTTACTTGCATACAGTAAAGATGTAAATGCATGCATTTAAGTTGTATTTCCATCTTTACTGAATGCATGTAAATGCAACTTTATTGATGCATATGTATACAAACTTTTCAGAATGCATGTGAATGCAACTTGAATTGATGCATATGCAATTTTACTGCATGAATTTCAGAATTTTTTTGTTACTTGAAATCAAATAAACATTAATTTGATTAAAATACAACTTTATTTCAGCTAGTTGCAAAGGCATCATTTCTCATTTTCATTCACTTTCACTTTAAGTACTAAAATAACTCAAACTGAAAATAATGTGTTATAGTTGAATGGTCATTTTGACGCTGCAAACATGGACATCATTATCTCCCCTGATATCCTCTCCCTCCCTCTCTCTCTCAGTGCTCATGACAGTGACGTAAAGGAAGCAAACAAGCAGAAATGCCCGCAGCCGAGTGCTCAGCCTGCACAGATGGTGTATCCTGTCCAGGGTCCGAGTGTGTCCTTGCATCAGTACATGCAGCGGCCGAACACGCAATACATGCAGCAGAGCTGCCAGCCGGTGGTAGTGTCTTCTCAAGGTCCTGCAACATATCTGACACATACGGCCTCAATGCAGGGGCTCACGCAGACACAGACCATGGATGCTAAGGTCAACATGCCAGGCAGGGCTTACCAGGTGAACCCGCTGTACCCCTGCGCCGCTCCCTGCTTCGACAGGTGATGAAACCGGACAGGAAAGTATCGGACCGTTTACACTGCACGGGGGGAGAGTTTGTAATCATGTGTGCAATTGTGGGATTGCAAACACCATAAAGCAAGCACACTGCTCTTAAATGTTACTTGAATCAAACCACTTCAGCTGCTGAATTCTGAATCCTTTTTAATTTACGTGATTAGGGTGAAAGCTAGAGGATTTAAATCACTGTAACGTTCATGAGGTGTGGGGTAATCTGAAATGTGCAATATTCTAATGCTGTTGTGCATTACCCACTGAATGCTGCCTTGTGGTGGTT